CACTCCTAGAAGTCTTAATAATGTTCATTATTTTGTTATAATATTTTATTTATTTATTTATTTATTTATTTGGTACAGGGTCTCACTACACAGCTGATAATTGAAATGATCCTCCTTTCTCAGCCTCCCCAGCAGTGGGATTATAGGTGTGCACCGCTAAGCCAGCTTTCAATGGCCAGCTCAGGGCAGGGCCAGCATGTTATGTGATACTAGATATTGAATGTGGGTTCTTGCAATTGCCATTCAGGTGCTTAGCTCACAGAGTTAATGCACCAGACCATGTTCATTGTTTTAAAGGTGTAATGTTAGACTCGAGTGCATGGAAGTATTTAAGGAACATTATTATTTTAGTTCAACAGTTGTGCGTGCTGCGACTCTTTTGGTTTTTACTGTATGTTTGTACTGTGAGATCTATTCCTTGTCCCAAGGCAAGCATGAATAAGATTGGTGTCAGTGTGATTTTAAAAAAAAGAAAATTCTGCATGCAATCAATCAATAAAGTGCTTTGTCTATGGGCTGACGACAGGAACCTGCCCTCATCACGGTTGTGCTCGTGCCAGTGCAGCAGGGCAGGAGACCTTTCGGGACCACACTTGAGCAGATGAGGATTTACTGGCATTTTCTGGCTTCAGCGCAGACAATTTGCATGAGTGGGAGCCATAACTACATTGGACACAACTGGTTCCCTGTGGTAACATCACATTCCCTGTTGTTCCTGCCTTCAGTTTGTGCCCCAATTCACTCATTTGTTTAAATTATGGTTCTTCTTCACATTTTAGGTTACATTCTGGGATTTTATAGCTAATGTAAAAGAAAATAGATTAATATTGTCTCATGCTTTGTCTGATGGCAGCTTCCAGACTTGAGTGCCACGGAGTTTAGACAAGAAAATGTGCAGACCCTGCCTCCAAGCTCACAGGTCACTGTGTTCTGTCCCAAATGTTCTTTCATAGTGCAGCTGCAAGGTCGGGACTGGGCCTGACCCTCAGCTGTGCATCATCTGGTTACTGCATCAATAGAAACTGCTCTAGGAGCTGAGTCCATCATCCCCTGGGGAAGGGGATAGAATGGACTGGACAGCTTGCCCGTAAAAGAGGCACAACTGAGAATTCATCTGCAACAGTCAACTCATTATCTCCTAAGACACTGCGAGAACTTATTTTCCTTGCTGCTGAGCTCAGTAATGATGGAGGACACAACTGGGCAAGAGATTTTTTAAGGAGACATCAGAGTAAGCGCAAACATAAAAATCTCTACAGGAATTCTCAAGACCAGGAGGGGGCGCTCAAGATAAAAGAGAGGGGAAACTTCATGACCAATAGGGAAAGCTCTGGGCTAGCAGAGGCAGCGCTGGAGACCCAGAGAAAGGAAATGAGGGCCTTGTTAGCAGATTCTGAGATGGAAGCTGGGGAATGAGCCTCTTCCTGTGGATATCTGGGGTGGCCCTCTCTGTCTGTGTTGTGTAAACTGACCATGCAAGAGTTGGTTTGCAGATCACTTGCAAGGGGCAAACATGAAGGCATGTGAGTGTTTTGTTTAGTGTTCAGGTAGAATGCACGAGAATTTACTTATTCATTATTTCATTATCTCCATATTTACTTCAGTGGAAGGAAAATGCCAATTTTCATATATTATAAGGTTGAATTTTAGGGTTGGGTATGTTTTAGAATGTTCAGCTTCAGGGTCATCACATCATCAAAAATTAATCTTTACGTTTATCTCCCTTGGATACATTATCTCAAGCATAAATATGTTTCAGTTGAGGAAAGTGTAGAAAAGCAGACACAGGAAAGAGAATTTTTAAAATTAGTTATTTATTTGTTTATTTATTTGGTAGACTGTCTTACTATACAGTTCAGACTTGTAGTGGTTCTCCTGTCTCAGCCTCACCAGTGCTAGGATTACAGATGTGCACTGAAGCACACCCAGTTTCCGTGTCCAGCACAGCATGTGATACTGTTGATTGAACAGGATCATTGTGCTTTCCAGGCAGCTGGTTAGACTGCGGAGCTATCTCATCAGCCAGGAAAGAGAATTTTCAGAAAACTCTAGAATATATGGGCAAATCTTCATTGCCTTACATGACCATGGGAACACTTACGTCAGTATTTAAGAAAAGAATATGTGTGTTAATGTTTATCTCATTTTGTTATCACTGAATTATTACATGTAAAATAAATAACTTAGTATGAAAATATTAATGCAGAAACAGATAAGAAAATCAAATATATACAACTCAAATATAGGCTTGAAGAATCCTGATTATATAATTAGAGAATCTTTAGAATACTGAAAATTATGTCAAATATTGTGGTCAGGAAAACATTACTAAGCATGCTACTCTGTCCTGAAATGCTTACGGAGCAGGTAAATACTGTGAGAAAGATATAGGCCAAAATTATGCAATAATTTTATTATTTGTCTGCTCATGTTTCATAAGTCCATTTTGCTCTCTGCATTTGGAACACACCTGAAAATCTTAAGAAATGACCAAGCTCATTTTTATGTACATTTGTACCTATGAGAAAACTAATAAGATTAAGTGTTCAACACAGCTCATACACATAATAAGAAAGCATATAATGCTTATTATGAATGTTACAATATATTTTCTAGACATCCTCATGTGCGCTGGACCCATGTCAAGCTGAGGCTGCCACAAGATAGCAGTCTATATAGCAGGAAGCCATGCAAATAGGGCCTCTCTCTAGTGATGAAAACCTGCCCAGAGCAGCCTGGACTGCAGCTCGGCAGGGGAGCCCAGCTCTGGATCCCCAGGTTTTCTCCCGTGTGGATCAGCACTGAGCACCTACAGCTCATCATGGAGCTCTGGCTGAACTGGGTTTTCCTTGTTGCTGTTTTCAATGGTGAATATATTGAACAATTAATACTGAGCTTGTGAGTGGACATGAATGAGATGAACAGCGGGCTTGTGTGACAGTTCCCTGAGCAAGACGTCTCTGTGTTTGCAGGTGTCCAGGCTGAGGTGCAGCTGGTGGAGTCTGGTGGAGGTTTAGTGCAGCCTGGCGGGTCCCTGAAACTCTCCTGTGCAGCCTCTGGATTCACCTTCAGTAACTACTGGATGCACTGGATCCGCCAGGCTCCAGGAAAGGGGCTGGAGTGGATCACAAGTATTAACCCTGATGGTAGTAGTATATACTACGCAGAATCTGTGAAGGGCCGATTCACCACCTCCAGAGACAACGCCAAGAACACACTGTATCTGCAAATGACGAAACTGAAAACTGAGGACACGGCCGTGTATTACTGTACGAGAGACACAGTGAGGGGATGTCAGTGTGAGCCCAGACACAAACCTCCCTGCAGGGTCTCTTACGGCCAGCAGGGGGCGCCGGTAATACAGAAGAACCAAGACTGGTTTTCCACGGAGTTGAGAATTGTTTTCCTCTTAGAATCTGAGACTTCATTTCAACTTAAAACTTACTGCCAGATACTCCTAGTTCATATATCTGCCCCTGCCCCTGAGGCCTCTTGTTAGACACATTTGTGTAAACATGGGAACACTGTCCACCATGTAAAACACGACCTCACAATTCTCCTAAAATGATTCTGGTTTGGTCATCAGACCCAGATAGAAGGTGTCTCAGAGAACCTGGTAAATTCTGAGAGGAATTTGTTATTCATAGTGAGAAGCAGTAGGTATGAGCGTAGACAAATTTCTCTCTTCTATGTAGTCAGAACCAACAAGCCGTGCTCAGCACAATCAAGGGCTCCTCAGTTCCTCACAGGTTGCTGAGGCCACAGTGAAACCCACAGCCTGATAAAGATGCCCAGGATCCCGACCTTCCTGGGTCCCCAAACAGGAGCAGATGACCTGAGCACTGGGGAGACTTTACCTGCACTTGCCTTGCTGTTCATCCTGTGGACAATATTTTCTATTCCTTTGTTTAAATGGAACGATAATGTCCTCTGTATTTTTCATTTTGTCTTCTTGCTTCAAAATGAACATTTATGTATAACATCTTATAAAATATTTATAATATGTTCACCATTTTGTAAATATATTCATTGAATTTTTAACATATTTATTTTAATATTTCAAGTATCAATAATCTCACCAAATAAAAGTGCAATTTCCATTATAAACCAATACATACCAAAGAAGAATTCACAACCATCAGTGGAAGTTTATTATAAATATTTTTTTTCTAAATTGTCAAAGGAACATTACATTTTCTTGCTATCACAGTTTATTCAGGGACTTCTCTCTCTTTCTGACAATAAAAATTGGGACAATTCTATTTATGGCCTGATGGATTTGTTATTCCTGAACTTTCTTCAATTTGTAAACAATAGTGATTGTGAAGTTCATGTACTCATCAAAACAATCACAATTATGCATTTTCTGGCAATTAATACAAGTGTAATAAAAATGACAAACAGTAATGTGCTGATGAAGATGTGCAACAATTTGAGCCATGAAAATGGGTGATGAGATTTTGAAATTCCATAGTTGGATTACAGATAGTTTTACAGATTCTGAACTCGCATAAAGAAAGTTGTCAGAGGATTTATTTCATTGCATAATTAGCTAAGAATATTGTAAGTGTAATTTGCACAAATTCATGCACTCTGACTTCCCGTAAGAGTGCCTCATGGCAAGCACACATTGGAAATTTTTCTAAAGTCTCTCAATGAATAAAGGCTGAATAAAAAGAACTGGTGGTATATCCACCTATAGATCATTCTTCTTCCACAATGGGTGGTATTAATATCTTTGTTATTGCATGTATATACATTGAAACAGATTCTCACAAATACAAAAATGTACTGTGTGGCACTGATGACTTGCAGTATGCAGTTTGTCCTTGTCCACACAGAGAAAAATACAGGTAAATATTCCAGAGACTATGCAGATGGTATACATGTGAGACAGTGGATAACTGAAAATATGCATAACTTTGCAATAATGATGAACATGCAGGTTAAGTATTTGTACAGTAGATTCACAAATGATTTACTACAGAATATCGCCTTCACTGCTTGATCCTATTGCATGTGGGTTAATGGGTAGAATTCTCACTCTGACTCGCTATATATGCTGACATCTGTGAGCTAAGCAACTAAACTGAGGATAGCAATGTGTAATAGTAAAACCACACTTGAAATACCTATCATTTTGATCTTCTATATCCATACTGTTTCTAAGGTCATATCAACTATTCCTATACTCTATTTTTTTTATTTTATATCTTTTGGAAGAACCAAGGATTGAACTTAGGCCCTTGTGCTTGCCAGGAAAGCGCTTATTCTACTGAACTATTTGTCTGGCCCCTACTATACTCTCTTTAAATGTTTCTAAAAAAAAGATAATAAAAAAAACAAGAGACCAGACAAAAAAATTGTCATAGAATTGTCCTACTATAATGTTGTGTATGATTTTATTTCCATATTACTGTGTAAAAATGTGTATCTGTTCTTTTTATACATTCTACAGGGATTTAAACTTTAGAATATCCGTGGTTGTTGAAAAATAGCAGTTCCATGGTATGTCTTAGGCATACCATGATGTTAAGCTCAAGTGCCTCTGTTACAGGGCAATAGTATCATTAACCTTCTCTTTTAGAGGGTTAACAACTAACATTTGAAGACCAAAAAAAAAAAATAGGGGCGCAAAGATAGCCAACATTTTGGCCCTGGCCCTTCAAGGTCAGTGAGGACTCAGGATATAGGAAAACCTGTGCTGTGACATCTGGTAGCTCAGTGGTGTCCCAAATTTTCTGATAAATGGACCATGGCGCCACAGTGAAAAGTGATTGATGAGATATAGTGTGCCAAAGGAGAGTCACCTAGAGAGAGAAAAAAAATCTCTCAATGTTTCACAGAGAGCAAATTGGTCAAGCAATGGCCATGACTTATCCACATGGCTACACTGACAAAAGATCTACATGGTGCTGTACATGGTTTCAAGGTAAATCCTGTGTGGATTTCACTGACCTTGTCAGATACAAAAGTTAAATTTTTACATATATAGTTCTTGATTTAACTTGGTGTTAACCATCCTGCAGAAAAGTATAATCAGGAGAAATAAAAAGTAAAGCCATATTAATATGCTGAGTTGTAAAAAACGCAAGTTAACAACTTCAGACAATAGCTAGTACTGCTGATAACCCACTAATATTATTGACTATTGGACTGTATTGGGTTATTTTGTTGAATTCAAATATCTATGGTATTTGAACTGGCATCAAGTATTAAAAGGTCCTCTAAAGACTTTTGCAAATACAGCTTCAGTAACAACAATGGAACACCCATCTCTGACAAAACAAAACAGAAAAGGGAAATATAAATAAGGACTATAAATAAAGGACTCTTTTGTAGTGGAATATATATATATATATATAGATAGATAGATAGATAGATAGATAGATAGATAGATAGAGAGAGAGTAGTGGATTATAATATACATATGGAAAGATATATAGCTACATTCTCTTAGTTCAACGTGATGAACATTTTGTACTAATAGAATTTAGATAAGATATCATGTCTACATCTTGTCCTCTGAATAACAAATATGAGGCCAACAATACTACAATATGCAATTCATTAATTATTGTAACTGTCCTACTAACATGTTGCTTTTCTTTTTTTCTTTTCTTTTCTTTTTTTGGGGGATGGGGGCAGAACCAGGGATTGAACTCAGGCCCTTGTGCTTGCCAGGGAAGCACTTATTCTACTGAGCCATCTCCCAGTCCCCTACTGACCTGTTTTGAAGCTGTTCCATTGCTATATTTTTTTCATTGAAATAAGTACAAAATTAAAAAAATAAATGATTAAAAATGGTAATAACATTCTATAGAAAACAACAGTCCCAAAACAAAATTTAACTTATCAAAACTTATTGTAAAATTATACTAATACATTAATTTTTTTCTTTTTATTTTATGGATAAAGACAAAAGAGAAATTAATAAAAAAACTAATAGATTAATAATATTGCATTACATAGTGTTAACTTTAAAATAGTTAATCAGGCCTTGTGAGATAGCTCAGTAGTCTAAAGTGCCTGGTTAGACAAGCTTAGGCAAGTTCTTGGGACTGGGGTTAGATCCCCAGCACCACCTACCTGGGGAGCTCCACCCTCAGCCCATGCTTATTATGGCAAGCTCTAATATGTTCTGTATCAGTCAGGGATTTTTCTAGAGTTACAGATATAACATAAGATGTACAAATGTATAAGAAATTCCAAGATTGGTTTACAATGGTCATTCAAAGAGTCAGATGAGGCAGTGTGCAGAGGTCACCTGCATACTGGAGACTGAAGGATTCAGTCCAAGGTCTGGAGACCACTGAAGTGTTCATAGAAAGTTCCTATCAGGGTGCCAGTGGATCTGTGAAGAGTCTACACCAGAAGGCTGAAGGATCCAAAGAAGAAACCAAGAGTCTCTGCTAGAGCCAGGAGATGCCATCCACGCTGATGGTGAAACTGGACTTCCTCCAAGCAAGAATGAGGTCCTTCATCCTTCCTCATTCTCCTTTACATGATGAGTCACTCTAGAGTGTGACCTCCACTCTCTAGGATGTGGAATTGCTGACTATTTAGTTAAACTCTTAGATTCTCAAGTTAACACAATTAACCATCCACTACAGGTTCATTACCACTGGTTTCTGTGGATTAGATCAATAGATACTGGTACACAGGGGTGGATATAAACTGAGTTTTTTGTAATCCTATAATATTATATGATCTGGGAATGAGAGTTCAAATGCATAACAAAGTCTTATTCAATATTCTGGAAACTGAGTCATGAAGGTCCCCATTCAAGAGATGGGAGCAGCAGCACAGCTCTCTATCACACACCACCTGCTGATCTGAGGACCAAGGTTCATTTGTGGAACAGGGGGGACCTAAACAACCTGGAGAAACCATCTCAGGAAATCTTGCCCTTATCAGAGAGGTCTGTTGATCTTCCAGTGTGCTCATATGTGACGAGTAGAGCGCCGCACTCAGAGTCAGCAAGGGGCTTTTTTGTACTTGAAGGAAGCAGCCTGCGGCCAGTGCACCTTCCCAGCATTGCAGATAACAACACGCCAGAGAAGGCCTGGGAATGTAGCAATCATTACAAGTAGGATCTTTCTCTACACAGCTTGTCCTGCAATGACTTGATTGTCAGTGGAATGAATATGGTCTGGACAAGGTCCAAGGGGATCACAGTGGATGGATTTTCTCAGACAGGATAAAGAGGGGGGCCGAGATCCCCACTGTTGCATGCCATGTATGTCCTATGATTGGTGTCTGATGTGCCCAAAAGCCTCATGCTGTCATGGGATTTTGTAGGAAGCTGAATCTAGAGGTTTTGATTTGCTTCTGGTCTTGTGCTGGGATGATGGGAGTGAACTTTATGCAATCCTAGGTTGAGTAGCTGGCACGCAATAGAATAAAATGAGAGGGTCTGCACCTCCTCTGCTGTTGCTTTTGCTATATTTCACCACCATGAATGCTAGTCCTCTGCCATGTCTTATGCTGCTTAGAGCC